TGCCCCGAGATCACCTGAGGAACAATTAGTCTATAGAACTCCTTAGATGGATATTTGCGAGGCTAGAAAGTGTTTTCGTCATCCGGTACCTTCTTAAGCTGCTCCGAGATCACCTGAAGAACAATTAATTGATAGAACCCCTAATTGCGAGGCTAGACAGTGTTTTCGTCGTCCGGTATCTTCTCACACTCCTCCAAGATCACCTAAAGAACAATTAGTTAATATTAGTAATTAGTTGTGCCACTAACTAGTTCGTTCCAGGGCACAGCCTTGTGGAATTACCATATTATTTTAGCAAACGTCCCAAGAAAATTTGTCAGACGTACACCGCAAATGTCCTTTTTGTTAATATTTTAGTGTTGAACTTCAGACTGCGGACTCCCTCATTTTGCTACGGACTCCCTCTTTCTGAGGGTAGGGAGCCGTTGGACTCGCGTTCAAATGTTAATTTCTACCCTTGCATACTCGCTTCACACTCTGATTCTGGTGTTCATTGGCTGTGTAATAAAAACTGGAGTTAGGAGCACAGATGCAGTTTGTTATGACACGGGCTTACATAAACACAGACTCTGCAAATAATGGGCGATCTTTTTTAAAATTGTCAATGGCCATCCAGAACATTGAATACAGACATTTTACGATAAAGACCTCCCAAAACTACATATATATTATATGCGCACACGTGCATATATATCCAAACAACAGACTGCACACTGGACAAGAAATGTTTTTACCATTGTTATAACGTCCGACAAAAAAGAAGATTATAATTGATAACCAGTTGGTTTAATGACACCAATAATAAATTTTAAAAAAAGTTACAGATTCTCATGATTAGTGAATAGCATGTGAAGGGGTGGGGAGGGAGGGGGGATTCCATTCACCCATCATTCACTGTGCCACATGCTATTCACCCACAGACTGGGTAAATATAGACTCCGATCGTAATATCGTAACGGTAACTCTTCACAGCCCAAAGGACTGATACGAAAGACAGAGTTCGACGTCAATCAAAATAATGGCAAGCATACCACCAAATCGGGGAAAGCCTTCTTGATTGCACCGACCATCGCCCGGTGCGAGCGCACATCTCCCTCGGTTATAGGATTGTTTGCACCTTCCTTCGTTTTCCCTTTGCTCTTCTCTTTGATGTTGCTACTCTCTCTTACAGCTATTACCTCTCTCCCACCGCGATGTGCTGCGTCAATGCTGACGCTGAGCAACTGCATGATGCTAACTTTCTCGGCAGACATATTACTATCATCACTATGAGTATGAGACTGATGACGTCTGCCGGACCATATGTAAAATATTAGCAGTCCACTCACAACTAACACAACCATTATGCTTATGGGATTAATTTTCACGTTCAGCAACAGCATGATTAAATAGTAGCGACAGTGGTTAATAACTTTAACAGTTAACAGAATTGTGGTATTCTGTGCAACAAAACGTCCACAGACACATATACAACACCACTGATTCCATGTATTGCCTATCGGACAAGAAACGTAGTGAATTTGTTATCATTTTTTCCTTTACCGTGTTACATTTAACATTTTTTGACCTGCCGTTTTCAAAATGGAGTTTTTTCTTTCATAAAAAAAAGCTTAATACGAGTTGCAATAGGATTTCTATATGTTACTGACAATGTTTATGGAGAGAGCAAACAGGAGTTGTTTCATGAGCATGTTCCATAGAATATTGCCCCCTGACAAAAATTTCCGAACGTTCAATTTTACTGTAACATCGCCATCGGTAATATGGCTCTCATTGTAAGTTTATTTGATTGAATTTTGCTAAAGTTGTAGTACATTTGGTCTCTTGTGCATTTAAATGAGATTAGCGTAATTCATTTATGTCCTATTTATTATTATTTTTTGTTCTTTGCAAATCACTTGATCGCGAGAAAACTGCTCATGTTACTGTTACTGTTAGTTTGTTACTGTACAGACTGTACATAGGGGCCCAGGGGGCCTACAATTTACTCAATTACTGTACATACATGATACTTCACTGTACCAGAGCTCGAATTAAGCGACGAGAAAGGCAAGGCAATTTTTTTAGGGCATGTGAGAAATCGCCTTGAATTTTCTCTAAAATGGAAGGGCACAGAGGCAATTTTAAAAGGCACCAAGGCAACTCTCAAAATTTGAGAAGGGCACAAAGGTACTTTTGTAAAATAAAGGAAAACTCATAACAAATTATTACATCAACATCGTCTTGCTTTTAATGTACAAAACAATATGCCCCCATGTAAGCTTACACCGTAACACCGACCCCTGTATACACCCCTCTGCTAATGGAAGTACAGTAACAAGAAATTTTACATGCCCGCTATCAGGAGCGAATAATTATCCGATACTGTTATTATTCCCTCCTGCGACTATCGGTTTTAAGCTCATCATTGCAACTACAGCACGCACGCGCACGTGTTATGTTGACTCGACTAAAAACGAAACTAGGGCAGTAGATTAAAGGGCACCGACGGCAATTACACAAAAGGGCAGATACGGGGGTTTCTGGGGCAGTACGGCGATTGATAGGGGCACCGACGGCCGTCGGTTAATTCGAGCCCTGCACTGTACAGACTAGGTACAATATGTACTCTGTACAGTCGGTGCAATTCAAAATCACTGATAACAACGGGCATTTATTCCTCTGCCAAACTAGACTTAAATTATTGAATTCCTATTTCAAGAATGGTAACCGAGCCAAATCAAAAACGATTAGTCGTGTAGATGTCCCAATTATCGAATCAAACTGGACTATAAATAATATTAATGAAACTTGCTAAGCAATTGGTAACATAATTACTCAAAAAAATGTCGCTGTAGAGCATCTAGTACGTAACATAGAGGCCAGCCAACTGCTTACCCTTGTGGCATACCCTAGCTAACCACTTTAACAACTTCTTCCATGCATTGCAGGGTTTAATATGGCCTCAAAAATTCTGAAAATTAACATAGACCCACTTTATTTTTTATTCATTCTTTCAGACTTGGAAGCCGTCAAAGAACCATTACAAAGACGTCTTAACAGGGAATCAATGCAAAACACAAGCAGAATGCTGATTGTTCAACTTTAGCATCAAGGTGGGTTATTTATTATCCATGTTATTTAAGGTAAAGCTGTGGCGCTTCAACATTCGTTTCGACAGCAATCATTAATTTTCTTTTAAATTCAATGCGATACGAAATCCAATCACTTTTTCACTCTGGTGCAATTATCTCCCCAATTGCCTCAGCGAATTTTAATCTACTCTCGAAGGCAGCATTCCTTAAATTTTCAGGCGAGTATCGCTTGCGGCGTTTGCAGAGTGAGTGCAGACGCAGTGAGTGACCCAACCACCTCGGCCACCGTCGTCACTGCGCTATCGTGCGATGGCCCCGGCGTAAACACGATGGAGGTGCGATCAGCAGCGCTAGTTGAGCACCGCACCACGCCGCCACGTCAACACGTTAGCAACCGCGGAAACCAGGCAGAAGAAGTGCAGAGACTGCAATCGTTATCCGAGGCAGAAAGCGAAGAGAAAGAGCGAAGACTACAGTCTTTACCCGACGCAGGAAGCCAGGACGATCAGAGGTTTCCCACAGCAGGGGAGAGCACCATCCGTGAGACGCATGCGGCTGACCAAACGAGGGCGCCGCTCGCACGCGAAACTGACGACCGACGAGGCGTCCTAGACGGGGAAACGTTGCCATCGCCCGACGTGGCGCCCCCTTCTGGACTCGCCGACGATGCTCGAACGCCACGCAATGCGGGAGCGACCGAGCGTCAGAAATCTGCGAGTGCATCCTCCGATGCAACACCGCTTCCTCTGCCGGGCGAGTCGCAACCGCGCTGCGTCGATGGCAGTAATGGCGATGAGTTGAGACGGATGGGGAAGGGGCGCAGTGAGACGGAGCGCGCGTCAACGGACGTCTCCTCGGAGCGACGGCCCAGAGCTTCACAAGCCGAAGTTCCCAGTGTTAGGGAGAGGAACAGCGATGTCGGGGTGAAGGAGGACCTGCTAGAGGAGGGGGACGGCAGGGAAACCAGCAGAGACATCGAGAGAGGTGACAACGAGCAGGAGGAGGAGGAGGAGGAGCATGCAGAGGAGATGGAAGATGAGTCCAGGGAAGAGGACGAGAAGGAGAAGGAAGGTGATTCCAAGCAGGAGGAGGAGGAAAAGAAGGAAGGTGAGTCTAAGGAACATGAGGAGCATGGGGAGGAGCATGGGGAGGAAGATGAGGAGGAGAAGGAAGGCGAATCTAAGAAGGATGAGGAGGAGAAGAAAGGCGAGTGTAAGGCGGAAGGAGAGCGCAGGGGAGTAGACGTGCCACGCAGGGTAGTAGACATGCCACGCAGCTGCGGCACTGGTGTCAATAAGCCGCGCACGCGCGCTGCGGCGTCAACGCCGACTCCACCCCCACCGTTTCCACGGCGACACAGCGGCCGCATCCGCAACATGGCCCGCGTCAAGTCAGCACGGCGCGGAAGCATCCTCCGCGAGGAGCCGGTCGCCGCGGCGACGACGACGAAAAAGCCGCGAGAGCTGGCGAGGAAGCAGCGACTGCAGGCGAAGCGCAAGGCCGTGAAGCCCGTGCGATGCTCGCAGGACGCCGACGTCGCCGCCGCCGCCGCCGCCAGCCTGCTGTGCTCCGTGTGCGGCAAGGTGTTTGAGTCGAGGCGGCAGCTGTCACGCCACGCAAAGACGCACACGGACCGGCGGATGCACGCGTGTCGCGAGTGCGGCAAGTCGTTCCGCGAGGCGGGCACGCTGCGCACGCACTACCTGTCGCACCGCGCCGACGCGCTGCCGTGCCGGGAGTGCGGCAAGCTGCTGAAGAACGAGCTGACGCTGCGCATGCACGCGCGCACGCACGGCGCCGCCGCGTGCTTCGTCTGCGACGTCTGCGGCAAGGCGTTCAAGCGCGCCGTGTCGCTGCGCGCGCACCAGACGGCGCACGTGCCAGGCGGCTCGCCGCACAAGTGCGTTGCGTGCGGCCGGGATTGCCGCACGAAGGAGTACCTGGACGTGCACGTCCGGCGCACGCACGGCGACGGCAGCCGCGCGAAGCGACACGAGTGCGACGCCTGCGGTAAGCGCTTCAAGTGGCCGAAGACGATGGAGCTTCACGCGGCGATCCAGCACGGCATTGGCGCGAACGTCGCCGGCCTTCCCGCGTGCGCGGTGTGCGGCAAGCGCTTTGCGCACGTCTCCATGGTGCGCGCGCACATGGTGAAGCACGACGAGCGGCGGGACTATGGCTGCGCGACGTGTGGCGCCGCCTTCAAGACGAAGGTGACGCTCGACTGCCACGTGAACGTGGTGCACAGCGACGCGCGCGACTTCCAGTGCAGCCTCTGCGGCAAGACGTACAAGACGAAGGCCTACCTGTGCATCCACCAGCAGAACGTGCACCGCGCGACCACGGAGTACCAGTGCGACGCGTGCCCGAAGGCGTTCAAGTCGCGCGCGTCGCTGAAGGCGCACGCTCAGCGGCACGGCGCCGCGCCGACACACTACTGCGCTCACTGCGCGCGCGGGTTCATCTCTCTGCGCGACACGCGCCGGCACGAGATGACGCACACGGGAGAGAAGAACTTTGCGTGCGACGTCTGCGGCAAGGCGTTCTCACGGCGCGACAACCTGCGCACGCACATGAAGGTGCACGCGGGCGAGCGCGGCGCTGCCGGCGGGACGACGACGCCACCCGAGCCGCCGCTCGCCGCGAAACCCATCGCGGGAGCCGGGCCGCCAGGTGGCGCCACGTGCGGCAAGATGGCGGCGGCGGTGTCCGCGAATCACCTGGTGCCGTACGGGAACGATCGCGCGCAGCAGCCACCACCTCGGGCAGCGTACGGCGTAGCTCACTATGACAGATCTGCGATGGTAGCCAGCGCTCCTTGTGCGCCGGATCCGTCCCACTATTACCAGACGTTTCACTGACGAGACGTGGGATCGACGCATCTCCTGTGTTTCTTCTAAAACTCTGGGAACTACGGAAATTTTCTACGAAGCGACGCGACGCGAGGCGAGAGAATCGCATCCGATAACTGACTGGCTCTCCGTTTTTCCAGGTGGGCCGCCCGCGCGAAACGGAGGCGAAATCGGATGCTCCTCGAGACGCTGTGTAGATAGAGGGCGTTGCCGCACTGTGCAGACAGAGGGCGTTGCTGCTGCTGCTGCTGCTGCTGCTGCTTGTGAGACATGGAGGAGGAGGATGAGATACGGACCGTGCTCGGCAGCGTGAGGCAGCGACTCGCACGCGATGATGACGATGACTGGGACGTTGACGTCGACTCCTTCATCAACCGCCGCCGCCGCAGCACCGACGCCGGCGCCCCCTCGCAGGCGGACGACGACGACGATGACGACGCGAACGCACTCCGCCCCGTCGAGCCGGTCTCGACGTGCGAGGCGTCGCCACCGCTAGAGGGCGCCGCGCAGCTCGAGGTGCTCACGTCGCTGCGGCCAATGGCGGACGAGGCGGCGGCGTCGTATTCCGCACCCGACGCGACGACGTCGACTGTAGGGGGCGCCACAGCTGAGCTGGAATTCTCGACGTCGGAATCTTACATGTTGACTGCGCCGTCGTCGGACGTTCCCGTCTCGGGCGACGCCGGCGCCACCTTGCGGCTGGATGAGGAGGTTGCGCGTGGCTCGGAGGCGGGGGAGCGGAGAGCGGATACGAAGCGGCGTTCAGATCGTCGCCGCAGGCCGCCGAAGTCACGTGGCTGCCACCAGGTGGCACGCAAAGCAGCGTCGCGGCGGCCGGCAGATGGCGCCACCGGCACATCGACGCCACGCGTCGTCATCAGTAAGACGCCGAACGCTGCTGACGCGGACAGCGGCGCCACCTGCGGGGAGCAGTTTGGCACGGCGGCGCGGCAGCCGGGTGGGCGAGCGAGTCGCGACACTGCGGCGGCGCCCCCTACGCTCGGGTTTGCGTGCGGCACCTGCGAGAAGGTGTTTGGGGACGCGGCGGGGCTGCGGCGGCACGGCTACGTTCACGAGTCGAGCGGCCTCACGTGCGCTACCTGCGGCAAGACGCTGAAGAACGAGTTGACGCTGCGCAAGCACGCGCGCACGCACGCCGCCGCGCGCCACGTCTGTGCCACCTGCGGCAAGGCGTTCCGCAGCCCTGCGTCTCTGCGCGCGCACGCCACCCGCCACCTTCCCGAGGGATCACCGCACAAGTGCGTCGTGTGCGGGCGTGACTGCCGCACGAGCGACTACCTGCGCGCGCACTTACGTGATGCGCACGGCCCGCCGGCGAAGCGGCACCAGTGCGTGACGTGCGGCAAGTTCTACAAGTACGGCAAGACGCTGGAGGTTCACGCGGCGACGCAGCACGGCGTGGGAGCCGGCGTCGACGCGATGCCAGCGTGCGACGTGTGCGGCAAGCGATTCGCGCACCGCTCCGTGCTCGCCGTGCACGCGGCGAAGCATGACGAGCGGCGTCCCCACGCCTGCGCCGAGTGCGCCGCCGCGTTCAAGACGGCGGTGGCGCTGGCGTCGCACGCGCGCGTCGTGCACAGCGCGGCGCGTGACCACGCGTGCCGGGAGTGTGGCAAGGCGTTCAAGACGCGCACGTACCTGTCCGCGCACGTCGCGAGCGTTCACGCGGGCGGCGTCGCCGACGCGTGGCGTTGCCGACGCTGCCCGAAGGCGTTCAAGTGCAAGAGGAGTCTCGCGGCGCATGAGGTGAGGCATGGCGACGCGCCGAGACACTACTGCGCGTACTGCGCGCGCGGGTTCATGTCCTGTCGGCGCACCTGAAGCCGACACAGAGCGAGTGCACACGGGCGAGAAGAGCTACGCTTGCACCATCTGCTGCAAGCCGTTCGCACGCCGCGACAACCTGCATACACACATGAAGTGCATCCACGGATAACAACGCCGAGCTGGTGAGGGGGCGCCGCGGCGACGCAGCGTTGCCGGCCACAAACCTGCACACACACATGAAGGTGCATCGCACAGACACAAACGCGCAGCTGCTGAGGGGGCGCCGCCTGGGCCAGACGCCAGCCGTCGTGCCGCCGCCACCTGCAACCACGCAATGAAGCGTGCATCGCCACGAGATAAACAACCGCGAGCCTGGTGAGGGCTGCCGCCGTGGCAGACCGCAGCCGTTGCCGCGACAACCTGGGCACACACACATGAAGGTTGCATCGCCACAGACAACAAAACGCGAGCTGCCGTGAGGGCGGCGCCGCCGAACGCGACGCGAGCTGGCCCGACAAACCCTGGCACACAAGCACATTGAAAGGTGCATCGCACGGACAGCAACGTGAGTGCTGTGAGGGGGCGCCGCCGGCGGAATTGCAAGCCTCTGCCGACAACCTGCACACACAATAAGGCTGCCATACGCCCACGGATACAACGCGAGCTGGTAGGGGGGCAGCGCCTGGGCAGACGCAGCGTGGCCGCCGACAACCTGCACACACACATGAAGGGCATCGCACAGACAACAACGCGACTGCTGTGTTTGAGGGAGTGCGCCGCCGGCGACGCAGCGGCTGCCGCGCAACAACACAACCTGCACACGCACATGACAGTGCATCGCACGAGACAACAACGTCGAGCTGGTGAGGGGGACGCCGCCGGGCGGATTGCAGCCGTCTGCACGCGCAACCTGCCCACACACATGAAGGTGCATCGCACGGATAACCAACGTGGCTGGTGAGGGGCGCCGCCAGGGCGGATGCCAGCGTGCGCCGACAACCTGCACACACACGATGAAGTGCATCCACGCGACAAACAACGTTGAAGTGGTGAGGTGGGCGCCGCCGGGCGGATGCAGGACGTCTGCGCGACAAGCCTGCCACACCACACATGAAAGGTGCATCGCACCGGAATAAACAACGCGAGCTGGTTGAGGGGCGCGCCGGGCAGACGCAGCCGTTTGCCGCGAAACCTGCACACCACACATGAAGGTGCATCGCACAGACAAACAACAGGCGAGCTGTGTGAGGGGGCCGCCGACGGTCGGACGCAGCGTTGCCGTGACAACCTGCACACACACATGAAAGGTGCATCGCCGCAAAAACGCGAGGCGCCGCCGGGCGGACGCAGCGTTGCCGCGACAACCTGCACACACACATGAAGGTGCATCGCATGGACAGCAACGCGAGGCGCCGCCGGGCGGACGCAGCGTTGCCGCGACAACCTGCACACACACATGAAGGTGCATCGCATGGACAGCAACGCGAGGCGCCGCCGGGCGGACACAGCGTTGCCGCGACAACCTGCACACGCACATGAAGGTGCATCGCACGGACAACAACGCGAGCTGGTGAGGGGGCGCCGCCGGAAGGACCGAAGCGTTGGCACGTGGGGGTGGGGGGGCTGCCTCTCTGGTGCTGAGTGATGTAAACCTGGATCGGTGATGATGCACCGCCTTGTGATCTGAGTTAACAACACTACATGCTGTTGCTGTACAATGCCAGATAACTGTGTTACTGAGAAAGAACTCCTAGTTGCCAGTGACGTGTTTTCAAATCGGTGAGCTGGGGCCATCCCTCGAAAATGTCACCCGGCCAATCACACCGGAATCAAGACGAGCGAGAATTCTAATTTATTTCGCTTGTAATTTGATTAACAAATAATCAATTATTAAACCTGCACGTTTTGTTTTGGGGGCTGTCTATCGATTCTTCGCTTGCATAAGGTTGCTGCAAATAGGAATTTTATGCTAGGAGTGCTTTATCTGGTTATTATTAAGGTTGTGGTGTTGTACTACATACTCTAGCCTCACACCAACCCATCTTATTCCTACTCTAATCCTAGCTTCCACTCGAACACATCTTGTCCCTACCCCAATCATAATGTGTACTGCGACGCCCTGTAAAAAACAGGGTTTCACGGTGAGAGCGTGCGATTGGGCTGACTAGGTGTGTATCATGAGGATTCTGCATGAGACACTTGCACACTCCTATCGTTCTACCTTCTTAAAAGTTTGTGCCGATCACGAGACGAGCAGACGAAGCTAGTTGGCCAAATCATGTGCGCTGTTATTTATACAGTAGATGTATACCACAGCTTACGATATATTATATATATACATTACAATTTACATCGAGAGTAGATAATAACACGTGTGTGATGATGTGTTATTATCCACTCTTGATTACATATATATATAATATATATATATTCATATATATGTACATACATTTTGGATCGTGTTCAGTTTCGTGCTGGTGACTGTGAGATTCATACGATAAATAGTTGGTTTAAAAAAAAGAAAGAAGCATGGCATTTTTACAGGTAGTATGGTTTATTTACATAAATCACGTTTTGTTGGTTAATCAGCTTGCGCCTAGTAGATGTAGCCGTGTGCTAACAATGGCAAATATTTATTTCGCGTATGTATACATTTTTCTGCATTAGGAATGATCATGAGGGAGATAATGGAAAATAAATTCGTAGTGGTATTCATTCAATATTATAACTCGTTTGTATCATTGAGTTTTGTATAGAGAGAGAGAGAGAGAGAGATATGAGAGCGAGAGAGCGCGCGATGGGAGAGAGAGAGAGAGAGAGAGAGAGAAGAGAGAGAGAGAGAGAGAGAGAGAGAGAGAGAGAGACAAGAGAGAGAGAAGAGAGACAGAGAGAGCGAGAGAGAGAGAAAGAGAGAGAGAGAGAGATGAGAGAGAGAGAGAGAGAGAGAGAGAGAGAGAGATAGAGAGCGCAGAGAGCCGCGCGAGGAGAGAGAGAGAAGAGAGAGAGAGAGAGAGAGAGAGAGAGAGAGTGAGAGAGAAAGAGAGAGGAGCGATGAGAGAGACAGAGAGAGAGAGAGAGAGGAGAAAGATCAAAAGAGAGAGATGAGAGAGAGAGAGGGGGGGAGAAGAGAGAAAGAGAGAGAGAGAGAGAGAGAAGAGAGAGAGAGAGAGAGCGGAGAGAGAGAGAGGATGAGAGAGACAGAGAGAAGAGAGAGAGAGAGAGTAGAGAGAGAGAGAGAGGCGAGAGCAGAGAGATCTGCCTGCGGACAGGATTACCCCAAATTAAAGATCGCATACATATGTTGTCGTCGAGAAAATAAACGCGAAATAATAAATAGAGTCGCGCTTCGATAAAAATTTAAAATTGCTTGCCAATGTGCTCGCCGCCATTTGTAAATAATATTACATCCCTTAATTTACATCTATAATTATAATTAATTATCATGAATCCTATAGTTAACCTCTTAGCAGCAAACTGTGCACTTGATATTGAGAAAAAACGGTCTCCTGACGGTGCATGCTTCGGCGTACAAAGCCAGTACGTATTGCCTACACCCCGCGCCCTATCCTCGTTCACAACAGGCGCGCCCACGTCTTAACCGTCAAAAACTAACCGTGTACAACACGGTTAAAACATGTTATAGAAAAAGTTAGCGTAGTAGTGTTCGTCTTCTTGACAGC